TCGCATGAAGTGTTCATGCAAGCACACCCACGAGGACCACGAGTGCTATCCCTCGCCCTACCGCTGTCGGGCCAAGGGCTGTGGTTGCAGTGCCTTCAACTCAGCCTCCGTTTGCGCCGCCTGCGACATGCACTGGCAGGACCATGACACCATTTTCGAGACTGAACAAGAGCGTAAACAGGCTGGTCGGCAAATACGTGCGTTCTTTACTCGTTAGCCCATTAATCTTCACTTTTCCGTATCTCGAACTTATTTCCTCTTCTGTAAAGTAGTTAGATGGAGGCAGGCCTTTTTTGCTCCAAAACTCACAATTAGACGCTACTGAAATATCTTAAGTAGACACTTTTGCGGAGATCTTAATCTCTGCCACCATCTCATTCTGAAGAAATAAAACCAACAACTTCGTGGAATTTAATCGAACTTGTCATGTGCAGCAATAAGTCATCTGTATGGAACGGCATCCAGCCATCATGAAATACCCTAGAACGCTGGAAGACGAGGTTGGAAATTTGACCTGCTTCTCTTTCCTCTGTGCCCGGTTCAGTCAGCACATGGCGGAGGTCCTTCTACATTCTGCAGGACAGAAAGGGACCAATAAATTTCATAGTCGTCATACGTCCCTGAGTTTTGGCCAAAGTTGTACAAAGTACACTGCAAAGCAACCCGTTTAACTAATTTTCTAAGGCCAACTTACCCAAGAGATGCTAGTAATGCTACGCATGTCCGGAGTTGAAAAAGGAGCACAGCAAATGATTCCTCGACTTCGAGGAGGTTCTCCCATTTTTTGACCTATCTTTCTGGATTGTATTGCATTTCAAAAACCTATTTATGAACTGTCCTCCGCTCAGTCGAAGGTTTTACTGTCTCCAGGTGAGGACTGGCTGCCTTTTTCGGAACTGCCGGCCCTGCGAGACATTGCAGTCACCGGGGTGGACAATCCAAATGTGGAGACACTCGCAGATGCCCTACCCCCAGCGATGCGGGAGAAGATGGCTCAGTCGAAGGACAGACCGGCTTTGCCCCCAAGATAGACTCAAGTACACGTCTTCCACCCCAACCTTCCTTTAACAGCTTTTTTCTTTTTATTTCTTCTTCTGCAACCAAGAAGCATTATTTATTTCTCTCTCGCGCTATAAT